GGGGGAGAAATAGAGAAAATGTGGCGATTCGTTTGTATATCAAACGATATCTAATTTTGTTACCGAAAAAAATAATAGTGGTTTTATAGTATTTAGTGTGGTTAATTATTTTTATTAAAATGCGAAAATTATCAACAAAATATTTATTATTTATTATTATTATTATAAATATAATAATAACAAAAGTTCAATGTAAAGGCGCAGACACCGCGAAGCAGAAGAAGGTTGGTATTATTATTGATAATATGAACATTAATAATATTATTTATTTATTCATTTAATCAGCAAATCAAACTCATTACGAGTTTGTGCCTCTCTGTTATTACCAATTAATAATATTAATAAATAATAAATTATATATAAATAACGATAATAAATATCAATAATATATCACCACTAATAATGTTAATGAATAATAAATAATATATAAATAATAACAATAGTAAATATTAATAATATCAACATTAATAATATTAATAAATAATAGATTATATATAAATAACGATAATAAATATTAATAATATATCACCACTAATAATGTTAATGAATAATAAATGATATATAAATAATAACAATAATAAATATTAATAATATCAACATTGATAGTATTAATAAATAATTATATAGCAAGCAATAAGAATAGCAAATTTTTATTAGTGTACAATTTAGGATGTAAAATTGTTATTATTTATTATGATTAATCATGTTTACATTATTAATCATATAATTTATTTGTTGTTACTATTAAATTAGATTAAAGTTATATATAATTGCAATATTATTTTATTTTCATTATTATTTAATTTCAATCCCATTCTTGCAGATCAATTAGTATTATTTATTTATTATTAGTGTTATTATTATCATTATCATTGCTGTTATTATTACTGTTACTGTTATTATTGTTTATTATTATGTTTATTATTGTTTATTACTGGTACTATTATTATTAATGATTATAATAATAATAATTATGGTGATTCGTGCAAGAGCAATAATAAATATTATATATAATAATAGTAAACGTTATAAAAATAATATAATAATAAAGATAATGTAATAATAAATATAACAAACATATTTATAAATATATAATAATAATAAATATAATATAATAATGATAAATATAATAATAAATATAATAAATGTAATGTATAATAATATTACAGAAGGATGTGCGTGACTTTACGGATCGCGATTTCGATAGATTATTAAAGGAATGGGATGAGAATGACGAAGAGGGAGACTCGGACGAGGACGAATCCCTTTACAGGAAGCCACAGAAGCAGGAGAGTCTCGAGGATGCTCTCAAAAATGTATTTAATAATATATAGTAATAGTATATAATAATAATAAATAATATATACAATAATAATAAATAGTATATACAATAACAATAATAATAATAATATTAATAAGTCTAACATATATTTAAACAGCATACAATCTCAAAGTATACCACCCCACCGTACTCCAGCTTTTGGAACCGATGTTATTTTTCAATGTTTTTGNATAATAAATAATATATACAATAATAATAGATAGTATATACAATAACAATAATAATAATAATATTAATAAGTCAAACATATATTTAAACACCATACAATCTCAAAGTATACCACCCCACCGTACTCCAGCTTTTGGAACCGATGTTATTTTTCAATGTTTTTGATGCATATTTACAAATGTACAATAAAAATTAATATTTA